AGCCAGGATGGTCTCGATCTCCTGACCTCGTGATCCGCCCGTCTCGGCCTCTCAAAGTGCTGGGATTACAGGCTTGAGCCACCGCGCCCGGCCTTTTTTTTTTTTTTTTTCCACAACTTCCTGTGATGATAATTATTTCAAAAGAGAGCTAAGAAAACTTCCAGCCAAGGGTGCCTGTGTGTATAGAAGTGCATAGCGTGACTGTACGGCACTCCAGGAGAGGCTGTCAGCAGTTTGCTGGATAGCTAATCTTGAGAAACAATTTTTCAAACACCCTCCAGATACAGGGCAGAATGCTCAGAAGTGGAAGGAGCAGAGCACCATACCGTAGCTACCACTGAAGTCCAAATGGTAATTGTACTTTGGGGAATCATCTGTAACCTCCAGACCCCGTGCCCGGAGCTCTTCGATAGCGTAAATGTCCAGCATAATGAGATCTTCCCCACCGGCTCCCTTGCCCTGTGATTTCAGCTGTCAGCAAGAGAAACAAGCGTAAGTTACACTACAGTAGGAGAAAAGGGATTCCAAAGGACTGGAACTGGCTAAACTATGCCCAGCGTAAACTGCCAGAACAGGGTTTTTCAATCCTGGCACTACTGACATTTGGGGCCAGATCATTCTCTGTTGCGGAGGATCCTCTTGCAGTGTGGGATGCTGAGCGGCACCCTGGCCTCTACCAAGTACATGACAGCAGGATCTGCCCCTGGTTGTGAAAACCAAAAATGTCTTCAGACATTACTGCCAATTGCCCCCTGGAAGGCAGACTCGCCCCCGCTTATGAACCACTGGTCTAGGGGAAAAAGGACTTCAAAGACGTTAATGGAAGGAAACTCATGCTCGGTCTGCAGCCAAGTGGTGCTGAGTTGGAAGGTGCTGGGTTTCCTGCTCACTCTCCAAGTTCTTTACCTGGGCCAGTTTCCTCTCCTCTTCAAAGCCATCCATGTCTACCACCAGGCCCTTCTCTTCAGCAATCAGTCCAGTCAGATCCACTGGAAACCCATAGGTGTCATAGAGGAGCCAAGCAGTGTCTCCTACACAGCACAAAGGAGGTGTGTCAAAAAACACAGATGGCCCCTTTTCCATGCCAAGTCCTCCAAGAGGATGCTGGGATTGGCAGAAGGAATTAAAGAGATAAGGCCAGTCAGTATCGGCCCTGGGTGCCCATCAGAAAATCCAACACATGTTTTCCAGTTAACCTGGGGGAAACAGAATGGATGTCCTGATACAATTCTAGATTTTGGTTTTTTTTAAATCTTTTTTTCTTTTTAAACGTCACCTAGGCTGGGCACAGTGGCTCACGCCTGTAATCCCAGTACTTTGAGAGGCTGAGGCGGGTGGATCACGAGGTCAGGAGATCGAGACCATCCTGACTAACACAGTGAAACCCCGTCTCTACCACAAATACAAAAAATTTGCCGGGCTTGGTGGTGGGCACCTGTAGTCCTAGCTACTTGGGAGGCTGAGGCAGGAGAATGGCGTGAACCCAGGAGGCAGAGTTTGCAGTGAGCCAAGATCGCACCACTGCACTCCCACCTGGGCAACAGAGCAAGACTCCATCTCAAAAATAAATAAATAAATAAAAATAATAATCAAAACCTCACCTGGACAATTTTCTATTTCTTTTTTCTTGTTGCCCAGGCTGGAGTGCAATGGCATGATTTTGGCTCACTGCAACCTCCACCTCCCGGGTTCAAGCGATTCTCCTCTCTCAGCCTCCTGAGTAGCTGGGATTACAGGTGCATGCCACCATACCCAGCTAATTTTTTGTATTTTCAGTAGAGACAGGGTTTTGCCATGTTGGGAAGGCTGGTCTTGAACTCATGAACTCGTGATCCGCCTCCCTCGGCCTCCCAAAGTGCTAGGATTACAGGTGTGAGCCACCGTGCCTGGCCAACAAATCTCTCTCTTGATCTGAACATAAGTGTGTTCAATTTGTGAAAATTCATCAAGCTTTTCCCTTGTTTGTTATACTTCAATAAAAAGGGGAAAAAAATCTTTGGAATTTATTTTCCCCAAATTGCAAAACAGTATATATCAAATATTCCCACTCTTGCTTGAAAAATACACACCCACAAATACCTACATGTATTTATTCGCATGCAAACAGAGAAGAATCCTGAAGAGTTATACACCAACCTGTTAAGAGTTGTTCCCTCTAAGAAAAAAAATCTACCCTCACCTTGCCCCTGGGAAAAAGGATTTTCTTTTTCTGAACACTTTTGTATTCTGTATCATTTGAATACTTTGCACACAATGATGCATTACTTTTACCATTTTACTATAAATTTCAGTTTGCACCAAAAGTAGTTCAATCAAGCTATGTTCAGCCTCAAGAGACACGGGAGCCCACAGTCAGTCTGTGAGAAAGGGCTTGTGTTTCCCAGAAAGATCAAACGGCCAGAATGGAGAAGTGCAAAAACTGGTCCCTACCGGGAATGGTCTTGCTGTCTCCCAGGCTCTGAATTTTCCTGTCCAGGATGCGACGCCCTCTGCTGAGAGTCTTGAGAAACTGCACCTCTTCTTCATTAATGATGTCCTTCACCATGTCTGGGTCCTTCTTCAGTTCAGGAAATGCATCTCCCTGACAAAGGGGAAGCAAGATGAGGGGCTGGATGAAACCAAAGACTCTTCCCTACCCCCTCTTAAAAAACCTCCTGGCCAGGTGCGGTGGCTCACGCCTGTAATCCCAGCACTTTGGGAGGCCGAGACGGGTGGATCACAAGGTCACGAGATTGAGACCATCCTGACTAACACGGTGAAACCCCGTCTCTACTAAAAATACAAAAATTAGCCGGGCGCGGTGGTGGGCGCCTGTAGTCCCAGCTACACGGGAGGCTGAGGCAGGAGAATGGCGGGAACTCGGGAGGCGGAGCTTGCAGTGAGTGGAGATCACGCCACTGCACTCCAGCCTGGGTGACAGAGCGAGACTCCATCTCAAAAGAAAAAAACCTCCTTAGCAGGGTGCAGTGGCTCATGCCTGTAATCCTACCACTTTGGGAAGCCGAGGCTGAGCTCAGGAGTTCAAGACCAGCATGGGCAACATGGTGAAACCCCGTCTCTACTAAAATAGAAAAAATCAGCTGGGCATGGCAGTGTGTGCCTGTAATCCCAGTTACTCGGGAGGCTGAGACAGGAGAATCGCTTGAACCCAGGAGGCGGAGGTTGCAGTGAGCCGAGATCATGCCATTGCACTCCA